TGTCACCCTAGAAAATGGCCAAGTATAACCACTTCCTAAAGCGTAGTATAGCGGGTCGGGTTTTAATGTCAGCCCGGGTCCTAGATGTGATGACTACTCAGTGAATTCGTATTATCTAGCAACAAAACTTTAGTGAAGTTCTAAACTAACAAGCAAGCAAAGCAACTAAAACGGTTGTTTTCAAGTCAAGAAAGGTCACCCGGATATGGTTCCCCCTAGACTGCAGTTAAGCCGGATTGTAATTGCCAAGTTTGATTTCTATGAAAGTTATACTGCGGAAGGTTCTCAAACAGTCTGAAGTCTCGACTAAAGGTCTCCAGACCCTCTCAATTTGAGTCTCTAGCGGGCGACTAACCTCCACCGGAGTAAACAGATTGAGGCACTATGAACAAAACCTCCACTACCGAATTAAATTCGGTACAGAATAGTGAATTGGCTACTCAACTAAAGTCACCAATTCACTACTTTCGATTAAGGATACTCTATCAACCTAGGCAGATATTATCATTCTAGGTTAAAGCAGAAACAACAGGAATTTGATTAGGATTCAAGTCATTCAATCATTCAAAACCTCAATCGAATATAACAAAATCATAGAATCAATACTTGGGTTCATACAATCAAACCTAACATACAGAACTAGGGTTTCCCATACCCAGATGAATGGGAGAACTACTCCATAGAAAAAGAAGCAAAAGCAGAATCAGACGCGGAAATCATACTGTGAAGATGGATTTCTGCTCCTGGACGTTGATTCGGCACTCCTCCAAGCTCAAGCCAAGCTCCAATGGTGATGAAGATCAAGCTAGGGCACTTGGAGACTCTTGTTCGTCGCTTTCTCTCTCTAGGAACCGCTCTGTCTCTCTAAAACTCGAATCCCCTTTCTCCTTGGCTGAAATCTGCTTATAAAGGAATCACTGGGCAAAGCACGATCGAGGGCACTTCCGTGCTTTGCCTCAGCCCGCCCGTGCTTTGGCTAGGGTTAATTACACGGCCAGCAGTTGGTGCAAACACGGCCGTGCTTTTGGGAGGACACGGCCGTGCTTTGGGTGGACACGGCCGTGCTTTCAGCCCGTGTTTGCAGCTTGAATTTGCCAAACTCAATTAGCTCTCGGCAGTAAAAGCACGGCCACAGAACACGGTCGTGTTCTGTAGGCCTCCTGCCCGTGTTTTGGCTCCAGCTCGACGAAACGACTTTCAAATGCTCCGAAACTCGTGCTTGGCCTTCCCTTCGACGCCTTGGACCTGAAATATGACAAAGTAGCACAACCCGGCGTAAAATAGGCCAAAACACACAACTATGCCCCGCAAATGGATAAGAAATAGGGGTATAAAAACATGCAATTACATCGTTATCACCTGCCTCCAGTGAGGCTATGCTCTTGTCCACCCTTGTGAAATTTGCCTGGCTGGTGGTCATGAATGCCGCCAAAATGTTCTTCAGCTCAGTCATCTGATTATCGGGAGCTGGCGCTGCTGCTGGCTCGGCATACTGACGCTGGGGCTGCATGAATGGCTGCCCTTGCCTAGGCTGGTAGGGCTGCTGCTGTGGTGGTGGCCCCTGCCTAGCCTGGAAGGGCTGCCTCTGCTGAAAACCACCCGTTGGTGCTGGGAAACCAGGTGGTTTGGTGGTGTTGCTGCTCCAGGCAAAGTTGGGATGCTGGCGCCATCCCTCATTGTAGGTATTGCTATATGGGTCCAGGCGCCGAGCATTGGCGATGAAGTCCACCTGCTCTTGGAGAGTAGAGGACTCCCTCATAGACTGACAATCCTCCACCAGGTGATTCGGGCTCTCACACCAATGACACTGAGCTACTAGAGGCGTAGCTACACCTCGGCCCGGAAGGAGGCTGTTGGGCTGCTTCAAGGTCTGCACCAACTCAGCCACCTGCTGCTCTAACCCGGACCTGGCCTCCATAGTGTGCACACCACGGTCCCGGGAATGTCTGCCTCTGCTGCTCTGCCCCCAGGAATGATCTGGTTCAGCTCGGGTGGAGTCTTAGTGAGAATGTCCCCTCTTGGGCATAAAGACTCAATCACCCTCTGGCTGTCTGGGGTGAGGGCACTGTAAACGGTGAATGCATCACTGAAGCCATGATGGGGACACTGCCAGAAGTATCCCATGTACCGCTCCCATGCATCACGAAGAGACTCATCTGGCTCTTGGCGGAAGTGAGTGATCTCTCGCTGAATCCCTGTGGTCTTCGATGCCGGATAGTACCTGTGCACGAACTTGTCTGCCAGATCGTCCCAAGAAGTGATGGACAATGGGGGCTGGGTCTCCAACCACCTCTTAGCATTCCCCGCCAGAAATGGGGGAAGAGGTGAAGGCGGATTGCATCATCAGGGACACCGTTCAGCTTGAACCCGTTCGTCAGCTGCAGAAAACGGGAAAGATGTGCCCGGGCTTTCTCATCCTTCAAGCCATGGAACTGGATGGAGGATGTCATGAGTTGAATCCAGCATGGCTTGATCTCGAAGTTGTTTGCAGGAATGGGCGGATAGAGGATGACCGGGCGGATGTCAGCAATCCGTGGAGTATAGTAGTACTCCAAGGTGGGACCCGGTGGTGGTGGATGATGATGGACCCCAGTTCCCTGGGGATTGGGATCGTTCCCCAGGATCTGGTTCGCCGGAGGTGGGTTGGCTTCGCCTTCCATCTCGTACTCTTCCTCAGAATCGCTGCTCAAGTGGCCGTCTATGCGCTCTCCCGTAACCAGTCTAGCTCACTGTTGTCTCCTAAGTTGGCGGCAAGTGCGTTCAAGCTCTGGATCCAACGGCAGTAAACCTCCTGACTGGCTACGGGTCATGCACTATCTGCACACACTCAAGTAATGCAAACCCGTGAAGGCACAAGTGGGAAAGAACAACCAACCAATGCGAAAATAAAAATGCTAAAGTAACAGAAATCACTTTTCTTCAACAACCTAGAAGTCCCCTGCAACGGCGCCAAAAACTTGACTCGCTGTTACTGTCACCCTAGAAAATGGCCAAGTATAACCACTTCCTAAAGCGTAGTATAGCGGGTCAGGTTTTAATGTCAACCCGGGTCCTAGATGTGATGACTACTCAGTGAATTCGTATTATCTAGCAATGAAACTTTAGTGAAGTTCTAACTAACAAGCAAGCAAAGCAACTAAAACGGTTGTTTTCAAGTCAAGAAAGGTCACCCAGATATGGTTCCTCCTAGACTGCAGTTAAGCGGGATTGTAATTACCAAGGTTGATTTCTATGATAGTTATACTGCGGAAGGTTCTCAAACAGTCTGAAGTCTCGACTAAAGGTCTCCAGACCCTCTCAATCTGAGTCTCTAGCGGGCGACTAACCTCCACCGGAGTAAACAGATTGAGGCCCTATGAACAAAACCTCCACTACCGGATTGAATTCGGTGCAGAATAGTGAATTGGCTCCTCGACTAAAGTCACCAATTCACTACCTTCAATTAAGGGTGCTCTATCAACCTAGGCAGATATTATCATTCCAGGTTAAAGCAGAAACAACAGGAATTTGATCAGGATTCATGCCATTCAATCATTCAAAACCTCAATCGAATATAATCCAATCATAGAATCAATACTTGGGTTCATACAATCAAACCTAACATACAGATCTAGGGTTTCCCATACCCAGATGAATGGGAGAACTACTCCATGGAGAAGAAGCAAAAGCAGAATCAGACGCGGAAATCATACTGTGAGGATGGATTTCTACTCCTGGACGTTAATCGGGACTCCTCCAAGCTCAAGCCAAGCTCCAATGGTGATGAAGATCAAGCTAGGGCACTTGGAGACTCTTGTTCGTCGCTTTCTCTCTCTAGCAACCACTCTGTCTCTCTAAAACTCGAATCCTTTGAAAGATGGCCTTCTTCTCCTTAAAATAGGCTGCCTGTCGCTATACTCGGTCGAAATACCCGGTCGGGTATTTCGGGTCTCGACCGGGTATTAATCAAAACGCACGTTTCATCCAGGGGAAAATCCCCGGTCTCTTCCAATAATCCCCGACCGGGGATTTAAGCCTCCTGCCCGGGCCCCCTTCTGTTTCTCGCGGGGCGCCCAAAGGAATAATACCCGGCCGGGTATTCTTGGTCATGGCCGAGTATTTTCATCCATCAGCCTCCTTTGTCCCAACTTCGCTCCTTTCGACCCAGAACTCGTTTCTTCGCCTTGATTCCAACGCCGGGTCCTGAAATATGACATAAACACACAACCTAGCGTGAAATCGGCTTAAAACACGAGATTCCACATCACAAACGGCTTCAAAAAAGGGGTGAAAACATGTGTAATTATCGGTCTATCACATACCAATTTGAGGACTACAACAAACTTATGGCGCCTGATATTGTCCACATTTTGTGATAGAAACAGGCTATATAGAATAATGGAAAACTCCTGATATGGAAGCTAAACTTTTTTAGGATTGTGATCAAATCCTGGTAATTAATTACTCGTCATATAGAATTGAGGAAAAGGTAATACAACTAACAAATGCTGGAATACACATTTAATAAATTAATCCACATAACGCTGTTGTACTTTGTAGGAACCCCCAGACACAAAAGGCTTTGGAAGCAGGAGTATCCATATCCATGTTCAGTGACATCAAGTGTGTGGAAACAATTACTGATTTGTTTACTTAACATACAACTTATATCCTAAACCAAACCCTATATTGCTAGTGGACAACAGTTGCGATATGGTAGAAAGTAACTTCACAATGACCAAAAACCTGTAATAGTATATGTAAAGGTACATGTTACAACTCCAATATTCATTTCATCCAGGAGAGAGAGAGAGGAGCTTTAAAGTGAGAGAGGATAGAACACCTCAACCACAACAACAATTGAAGATTACCTGGACCGGAAACTTTAGTCTTTGTCGCACGGAACAGTTCTTCAGATCGACTTGGCCGGTGCTGTAGGAAGGAGAAACGACAACTATAATCTAACGACTCTGGCAAAACCAAGAATTGGGAGACCCTGCAATGGTGGGCCGAAATCGATGGCTAAGGAGAGACTTCCAGCTGCCGGTTGACAACCCAAGCATATGGTCTGGGGCGACAATCCTCCTCGATTGAAAAGGAGCAGGCCGTACAAACCCTAATTGCAAAGAGCCGGTGCAATTCCAATCCCAAATCCTACATGTTCATGGGAATGGGGAACCCTAAGCCCGACCAGAACACAAATACACAGGGGTATACATGAACTCGAAGAACCATCGAAAAAAACAACTTGGAATTCGTACACAACCAAAGCCCCCATAGACGCGTATTAGACGAATATGAAATTGAGGTTGTGACTTCAATTTGACGAGAATGCAGATACAATAACGGGAAGAAGAATACCTAGATACAAAGTTCTCGTCATTAGCCTAAAAGGGTTCCGCAATCAGTGTTCGCCATTGCTGCGGGGGGAGAATTGAAATGGGGATTGACGATCTGGTTCCAAAAAGGGGAAGAAGTAATAATAAGAGGGAACAGCTGCAGCGATGAACTCGTCAATCCCAAAAGCAGTCTTGTAGGGTAACACCCGCCCACCAGATCGCGTTCTTCTTCTCCAATCCGATTACAGATCGCGTTCTTCTTCTCCGAGGTTGGGACAGGGAAAGGAAACTGAAGAGAGATATTTGTTTTAATTTTTGTTTTGGTTGAATACGAAACTGGAGAGAGATAAATGAGAACGCGTAAGTTTGGCCGGGTGGTAAAGAGAGCTGGTTCATTTACGAAATTACCATCACCGAAAATGAAAGGGAGAGCAGGAAATTTGAATCCCTAAAAAGTTGCTAAAAGTGTGCAATATATTAATGGTGGATGTGTAGAAATAACCAAATAGATATTTCTGTTTACTTTTTTTACTAACAAATACCAAACGATTCCCTATAAAATACACTACAATTTGATCATTATGATATCAAATAATTATATAATATATATTTGAAATGATAAAAATTGGACTAATTGGGTTGGTCGAGGTTGAACAATTGAATAACTTTAAAATACATTATATTTTAGCCACTAAGATATAAAATAATAGCATAATATATATTATGCCAGAGAAAATAGCTTGTTTTAGAATGTCAAACCAATGATGTTCATTTGTTTTACTTGATGGCCAAATCCCGTGTAGGTCAGGCCAATTCAACTTTTTATTTTATGGTTAGCGGTTAGCCCATTAGATACCATGAATTAGTTTATTGTTAAATTTTTTATTTTTAGCAATAAAAAGAAGTATTGTTTTTGCCTTTTCATATATATTTTATCACCACGGAGAAATAAAAGCGCTTAATGAAAAAAATTGACACTCTTGGACCCGTTTAAATCGGCATGTGTACGGTAAGTTGGCCCGTTCCACATAGGAAAGAGGAAAAAATTGACACTCCCTATTCTACCATTCTTACAAACGCTCCTGGAGCAGGGAATTTGAAATGGAGGACGGGTTTTTTCCTCCCTGCTATTAAATGTTTTAAATTTAAAAAGATAAAACAAATGTACTTAGTGGAATTGGTTATGATTCTTACTTTTCCTTAAAATGGTCATGGTTCGAATCCCACTATGTGTCTTTTTGATGAATAAAAAAAAGTAATTGTGAAGACCAAAATATCCTTCCTACTTTCAGTCTCGTTGCAGGAAATTTGAAATGGGGCTCCCGTTTTTCCCTTCAGCGTATTATATTATGTGTAGATTCAGCTATACTCTTGCCTCTTGATGATTCCCCAGCTTGGTCTTTTCCTTTTTAACAAAGTCATGTAGATACATTTAGCATACTAATTACCAACTCAGGGTCTAAAAACCTCCACTTAGTCGAGATTATACGTTTAAATTTTGAGAGGTACTAATTAACGCCCTAACTTTTTAAATTTATCGCCCTAATTAAAAAAATTTCACGATTTTACCCTTAAAAAATCCCCAATCTCTAACTAAATTTGTAACCCTAATTAATAGCTTCAGCCGACAGCCGCCTACCGCTGCCGTTCGCCCTGGAAGGATGCTCTTCGTCGGCGAGGATGTCACCGAGAGGAATCATCCGGCGAGCTGTTGATCGCTCGGAAAGGCGTTCGGAAGGAAGAGCCTGGTCGCGGAGCCCGAGAGGAATCATCATCGTCGAGAAGCTGTTGATCGCGCACCGAGAGGAATCATCGCCGCCGTCGCCCGAGAATCCCATCATTCGTACATCATCGTCGTCGCCCTAATCATCGTCGCCGTTCTCCCTGAATCCCTCGCGTCGATAGAGGACGCAGATAGAATCCCGCCGCCGTTCGTGCTCAGCCCGATTCCTCGATCCGTCTTCTTCCTCCTCCTTCCTCGCTCGCGATTCCTGCTCGGCGCGACGGTTCCTTCTTCCTCCCAATAGTAGCAGAGACGGCCGGCGTGGCGGGATTTGTTTCTCTCTTCTGCGCCCTCATTTGGCGGAGTGGCAATCCTGGCGGCGGAGACGGGGCGGAGAGAACAGGTGAGATGTGTAAGACCGGTGGCGGAGCAGCCGCACAATTTTCGTCATCCGCCAGTGAATTAAATGAGCAGGATTTTAGGGATTAGGGCGGCGACGATCATCGCAAATTAGGGATGCGATGGTTTGGGATTAGGGCGGGGAGGAGCAGAGCAATGTCGATTAGGGCAATGGCTAATAGGGGTAATATTGTCTGTTTGGTTAATTTAGGGCGTAAAATTTAAAAAGTTAGGGCGTTAAATAGGAATCCAGATTTTTAGTGGGTTTCAAGCATGTTGATGAGTTAAAGAAATTATAAAAGTGTTATATAATTATAGATGAGGGAGTCAGGGCAGCAAAGTGGCTTTAGAATCCATGATTGGTAATTCTGGCGGGCATGGTTTTGAGAAAAACCCAATTAAATGTAATTACCTTTAATTTTCTGGATTCCTATTTAACGCCCTAAAAATAACCCACTCTGCTCATTAACAAAAACCCAACGTGCATATTCTTCTTATCCCACTTTGGTAGCCATTCCATGCTTGTATATGCATGTTAATATATATAAAGCCAAATCCGGATTACTGTTGCCTAACAAGTTAATATGATTGGGCTTAAGCCAATGAACGTTTAAGATGCTTTCATCTATTTCTCCAATTGTTTTTCACCAATATTTAATTGTTTTAGGAAGGAGAACGGAATTGGAGAATTAGAAAAAGAATGGGTGGAGCGACTTATTCTCATTTAAATTTCTGTTACTATTACAATTAAGGTAGACAAGAGATTTTTTAGGTCTTTAAGCATGCTATTATAGTTGGCCTATGACTACAACTTATTGAGGCCTATTATTTTCGACTCTAACTTTGAATATGGTCGTAATCAATTACTCAGTTAACCGTTTAACCGCCAGTTACTAATAGTTTAAGCATCGGTTAGTAATTAGAAAATTTTGACTATAGAAAACCAATGATTTATTATTTAATTGATTAACAGTTACACCAATAACCACTGGTTCCGATATGGTTAGGTATTCTATATTTTCAATTTGATTAGCTGATAGCCAAGGTTGGATTTCTTAAACATTAAATATCATCTTCGATATAATATAATTATTTTTCTTTTACTTTTTTCTAATTTTGAGTAATGATACACTGAAAAATACACTATCAAGCAAAAATTTAATGTAAATACAAAATTGAATAGCTACTAATGTTAATCGTGCCACGTCTCCCACCACGTGCAGCATAGCGCGGATATTTTCTAGTATATATATAACCAACAATAAGGCAAAGGAATACACCTATGTATATATGTTCTCAAGACATAGATCAGGCATACATAATTGTTTAAGTCATGATAATTAAATCACCGAGACAAATTCTTTTAGGGCAAAATGCATTTGTGTAGCCAAACTTTTGACGTTTGTGACAATTATAGCCATTTTTGGAGAAATACCAATAATATCCAGAATTTTGAAAGTTTGATGACAATAATAGCCATTTCCGTTACATAATTTAACGACGTCAGTAACAGCGTTAGTCAAATTAACGGAATGCTGACCTGGCTTCCAACTCACCCTCTCTTTTGTTTTCACTTCAACATTCACTTGCAGGTGGACGACACGTCATTACAAAAATAATTAAAAAAAAGGCAAAATACCTCTGCATAGCCAAAACTTTCACCTTTGTGCCACTTATAGCCACATTTGGCGAAATACCACTAATAGCCACTTCCGTCCGATTCTTTAACGCTGTTAACGTTAAGTGTGACTGGGCAAACGGAAGGGCTTACGTGTCAAGCCTGCGTTTTACACGTGGATGCAGAAAAAAAAAAAAAAAAAAAAAATAAAAACCCTAATGTTTTCACCGTCGTCGTTTTCTACTATCTACTCCTTCGTTTTCGGGCAGCAGTCGAATTCACCCAGCCACCTTCGAAGGCGACGAAGCGACGAAGGCGGCGAACTCAGCGAAGGCGACGACCTGCCTCCGACGACCAGTGCACCCCAAAAACCTCCACCATCTGGATTCCTTCCCCCACCATCGATATTCCCCAAAACCTCCAGTCCCGATTTTCCCTCCAGTCCCGATTTTCCTCCTTCGATAAAAATATCCTTGCGCATGTAATGGGTTGACCAACCGGCGGCGAGCCATGGCGGAGCCCTTCGAAGCTTGTTCTGTGGTGGTTGCTTTGAAGGAATAGAGGAATCGACCCTTTACTGAGTTCGACGAAACCCTAATCGCACCATTTACTGGGTTCGACGAAACCCTAATCGCACTTGAAAGGGGGATTTTTGCTCCCACGACTGGTAAGGTTCTGTTTCTGCTTTGTTACTGTGGTTGTGGATTGTGGGGTGAAGGTTCTTATAGTTTATTGCTTCTCTTTGTTGTTTGGTTGGTATCGAGCTGTAAAGACGAGAAAGCGACAAGGCAGAGGAATCTCGGGACCACTCGAACAGGAGGTTTTTGGCTAGTTTGCCCCCATAATTGAAGGTCAGTTAGTCGATGTACTGGGTTACAATTGTCTATTCCTCTTTGATTCCCACGAACCCTAGAATTGAATAATGTTAGCATTTGTTTACCATTTGTTTGGTAGCGATTAAAATAGTGTAAAGATTGTTTAATCACGTGGTTAATGGTGATTAACAAACTGATTAAAACTTGATGACAGATGGCTGATTCTTGGGAGTCTGCTTTTGGAGAGAACGATCCAAATGCTCAAGAAGTATCAGATTTCTCCTTGCCTGCAGAAGATGGAATTGAGGCTTCTATTGCTAGAGACATATACCATGTATATGACTCAGACGACGCTGATACTTCTGACGACGAATACCACGAAGCAAGGTCAAACCTACGAGCCTATGGGGAGATGAGGAAAAGGAAGGTTAAGGCGCGGATCGATGGACATGGGGAGGAGGTCGAGCAGTTGGATGATTTTGAAGAAGAAGAATCTGACTCTGCAGATGATGATTTGGCTGATGAAAATGAAGAGGATGATCCTGCTGCCTCTCATGCTAATGAACGCGAAGAGGAAGGAGCTGTTGGATCTCATGCTGATGAAGGAGTCCAAGGTAGTCAATCACCTCAAGTTCAGGAGACAAGGGGAGAAAACTCAAACCACTCGAGTTATA